TTTATATATAAAATTATTATAGATCTACCATTACTTTCTTCAATTTTTAGAAAAAATAGTTTTAAAAAAATTACTAAACACATATATATCTAAAAGTGTTGTACGGCTATACAAAAAAATCTCAACTGCAATCCCAAACACACTTTGAGTTTTTTTATTAAGAATTTAAATTTAAAAATAATAATTTCTTAATAAATATATTATAAAGTGTATTGAATTAAAAGATTTATCAATTATTATATGAAATTATGATATAAAGAAGAAATTTGTTATGATGATAATGATGAGTTTTCTTTTCTTCAAGACATATCGTCCTCCTTCTATCTTCAATCTTGGGAGAGTTTATCCATACAAATGCAATGACGTAAAGAGTAGTGCTACTCTTCCCTTTTCATCACCAACTAGGATTTTGTTTAATAATTAACACACATTTCTTTAATACAATCAGAGTATTACTTTACTTAACTACTTCTATCCTACGGCAGACTACCATATAAAGAATGAAAATGAAAGAATTAATAAAAACTAACATCTAACTTGTACTTTCTAATTAGTGCATACTAAAGTTAATTAGATTTGTGACCTTAATTGATGTGAAGAGAAGAGTAAAAACCCTTAATAGTCTGATCCTCAACTTGTTTTCTTTTTTTTTTTTAATCAATGTGCATTTGAACAATTTCTTTACTGCACATACTGAAGTTTAACTCAAGCGTATGATTTTCTCTTTTTTTCCTCAAAAAGAAAAAAACGCTAGTGACTTTTTCCTAGAAGTTGAAAATTGCACATATATAAAAGCTTATGGGAAAGAGCTTTACAGAACTAGGTTGCATTTGAAGTTGTTTTTCACTGCATTTTTCTACAAAGTACCTTATAAAAGTATTAATAAATTATAATTAATTTAATTTAATTTATATTTTGTATAATTTAATGATTATACATATACGACTCTTTTTAAATCAATTTTCATAATAAAATACTAAAAAAACCAGCACTTTCCAACAATCTTAAACACTACCTTAATCTCTTAATTTAGCAAAAGTTAATCATCACCTTTCCAAATTACTACTCATCCACACTTTTATTGTTGCTAGTTGGATGCTGAGAATGGAAGTTTGGAATCGAGGTGGACCCAAAGAGATGAGGAGCAGAGTTGACATGGAGCCATTAATGACCCAGTACGGGATTTGGCAGCATCCAGATGGTCCCCAATCTCTGAGTCTCAGGTGCATGCATGCAATATGAACATATGAATTGGATTGTTCTTTCCAGAAATTGAGAAGTGCTGGGAAAGGAACGTTTGTGGCCCTGAGGCCCCTCATACTCAAATCATCAATATATCAATCTTTTGAAGAAATCCCACGTGCATGTTTTCTACTTCACGTGGTATTGATACACATCATCACATTTCTTGGCCAGCATCAACCCACTTGGCTTTGAACTAGAGACTACACTGTGCATATACAATGACAGTGCTTAAGGAATTACAAACAAGATCATCTTCATTCTTCACAACAATGAGAAATGGAACCCCTCGCCTCTTTTTCTTCAGACTCCTGTACTTGCATATGCAGTTGTCAACCTGAAAATTAAGAAAAAGAGTGTCTGATATTTAGATGTGGGAAAAACAGAAGATAATGTAAACAAATGAATCTTCGTTATACATTTTCTGGGTATCTGCATAGTTAATTCAAAAACAGTTGCTCATGCCATATATATAATTAACTGTGCGCATGCCTCTCAAGGGACCACTTAATTGAACCATATATATTTATATAGCAAAACTGCCCATACTGTGTTGTAACTCAGCATTGTCAACAAACAATAGTAACATGTATTATATGTACATTAATATGAAAATCCAAGTGACAAGGAGATACAGAAATTCAATAAAATATCAAAAAGCATGCGCAGACTAGCACTGTTCCATCCCGGGATGCATGACGTTTTAATACAGACAGCCAGCACACCAATGAATGGAAAATCATAGAAAAATATTAGGAATTGATGATTAATTCTTAGCAGTCACAAGTCAGGTTTGCCCATACACAGATAGGTAGTAAAGACTAACCTGAGACTAGCTGCCATGGACCGTGCATGGTGTGGAAAACAGTACTTTGACTCTGCTGCTGTCATGCTGTTCTTGTTGCATTTCCTGAATATATAATATATGCTATAACACTTCCCCTTCCATGGACATATATATTTCCTTTAACAAGAATATAATTTTTGTATTTTCCCCTTTTTCTCTCTCAAACAAGTGTGTCGCTAAAATTTTGCTAGGGTGTAATAAATCTAGTCACTACGGTGAACCTGATTTCTCCATTCTATTATAATATCTTGGGATTACATATGAGATAATCAAGGAAAACCTGGAAGAGCAAGTTGATGGATATGCTAGATTAATTTCTCAACAATAATACTTTCAAAGAGCAATTTGAAGCTAAACTAAAAAGTGACTCTTGACCAACGAGCTGATGGTAACACTCTTCCTATATAAACACAAAAGAATACCAGGTGTACATGACTAAAGTAACAAGGTTATGTGAGTGAGATATTGCCTTGACAATTCCAACACAAGTCCAATGTTTAAAGACACATTTTCGTATTTTTCATCTGTCTCCAAAACCGCTTTCAAAAAGGTTCATGTGTGAAACTTGCACTACTACCATCAACAATTCCATCCTCACACAAATGAAGCTAATCTCTTTTGCATCAAGATGATGGATTCAATGCTGAGACTCTGACAGGCAGCAAGCAGCCAACTTATTTTCATCTCCAA